CTTTTGAATCTCTGTCGTGGCAGCTTAGTTTGAAGCCATTGACGTTTGTCCCAGCAACAACATTGTCAAAAATGATGGCCTTATACAGAGAGGGTGTGCAGACAGGAGCTTCATCGTTCTCGTCGTCGATGTCTATGGTGACCTGTCAGCAGTGAGGGGAAAGAAACATCACATCCACGTTGTGTGACTATTTATACACAGAATCCGAAATAAGCGTCTGGACAGAGACAGATCATTTAGAATTATTAAATTAAAAGTCTTGAGTTTCAAGAAATGTTTCTGCAGATTTGGGTTCTGGCTGTTAATCAACTATTCAGTTGGCTTACTATTCCTGGGTCAACTGTGACATTCGGTGTGGCCATTAGGGAGAGTTCGAGCTCATTAGAAGAACCTGTGGAAAACTCAAAAATTACGTAAATGATGAGAAAAATAAAGTTGAAATTGTAATCCTTTGAACTTTTTAAAATATCTCTGCTTAATGGCAAATATATCCTGAGTTTGCTCTTTTATAACTTAGGGGCCTCCTCTGCATCATTCTCTCAAGCACTATATATTTTTTGGTAACAATACAATTACTTCAAAGTATGCTCTGACCTTAATCAGGGGCTGTTAACAACCTTTTCTTAATTAAAATACCATAAACCAGGAAACTGGGATTTACATGGAAACAGATCAAAATGTCAAGGATTTTTAAATGTCAGTGATCGAACGCCAGTCGGATTAGAAAGGCTATCTGCCCACTGTTAGATGAGTAATAACTTTCTCAACAACATTTGCAAAATAATTCCTGATGTGCTCATATTTGCAAGTATCATCTTTTTAAAATACTTTCCGTAATGTTTTAACAACACAGCTAAATTCTTGGGGAATAATTCATTTTTGTAATGTTACTTCTATAGATTGAATATAGCTATCTGTCCTATTCAATATGTGAGGTGCTTTCATATGATTTTAGGTAGACTGCTGTGATATAATGGAAACAGCACAGGACTTGAAATCTAAAATCTTTATTAAAACTTTGGGCCTTTGCCTCACCAGATCCTTTATTTGGTACAAGTGACTTAACCTTGTTTTCCTCATCTGTACAAAGGAGATCTCAATCTCTCCCTTCCTAGGATGGTTGGGAGATATAAAGTCATTCATTCATGAATATTTCTTTAACATTTATCATGTGCTAAGCACTGATCTAGACACAGAAGATACTCTGGTAAACCAAGCAAAGAGCCTGCCTATTGTAATTTACATTAGGAGGAGGCAAAGCAATAAACAAATTAACAAATAAATGTATTAGGTAATGTCATATGGAAATTGACACTCTGCAGGTTAAGGAAACAGAGAATAGCAGAACTATTTTAATAGAGTGTTCAGAGAAGGCCTTTGTTTGTTTTTTTACTCACTCTCCTATTTCCTTTATCCCCCATGTTTGATATGTGCCCTCAAGCAAGTATATATCCTCACAGAATATGTAGTGTTTGGTCATGTGGTTTTAATTTGCATAAGTGATACTGTGCTGTTTCCTATTTCTGACTTCTCTCAAAAAGCACCATACTTTCTCACTCTTTCCATGTTGCTGTTTGGAGAATGAATTTTCTATTTCTATGATTCTTAGCATCTTATCATACGCATCCACCGTATTTCACTCATTCATCCCCTAATGATAAACACGTGGGTTGCTGCCCAGTTTCACCATCACGGACGACAGAAAAGACCTCTGTGCAGAGATGTGATTCAAGTGAGACCGAGTCGCATGGCATTCTGACAGCGTGGGGCACAGGCTCCCAGTGGCAGACGTTCTTGGTGTGTGGAAACAACAGCAAGTTCATATGGCTGGACTGAAGGAAGAGGGAGAAAGCTAGAAGCTGAAGACAAAGAGGCAGCCAGGGCCCTGCAGACCTTAGGAATGACATGGGAGCTACGCTAAGGGTGATGAGAAGCCACTGGAGAGCTGCGAGGAAGAGGGTGACGTGTCTCTTTAAAGGTTTACTCTGGCCCTGGCCAGTTTGGCTCAGCGGTTAGAGCGTCCGCCTGCGGTCCGGAGAGACCCGGGTTCGGTTCCCACTAAGGGCACATACTTCGGTTGCAGTTTGTCCCCGGCCCTGGTTGGTCGTGCGGGTGGCAGCCACTCGATGTGTCCCTTCATGTCGATGTTTCTCACTCTCTCTCCCTTCCTCTCTCTCCCTCCCACTCTATCTGTACAAAAAAATGGAAAAATATCCTCCGGTGAGGATTAAAAAAAAAAAGGTTCACTCTGGCTACTCTGTGAAGAGTACATTGTACAGGGTACAAGTGGAGGTGGAGGTTGCAGTTAGGAGGCTGCTGCACCAGACCAACTCCCGGATGATGGTGGTGCAACCAGGGCATTAGCTGTGGGTGGTGAGAATGGAAGGATTAAGGATGTATTTTGAAGTTAGAGATACTTTAAGTTTGCTGATGGATTAGAGAGATAATTTAGGGCATATGATAGTGATTAAGGACCTGAAGTTAATTCTTCTACTTCATCGTGGCTGGTAAACTTGGATAAGTTACTTAACTTTAAAGCCTTGGAAATAAAAATTTAACTTAAACAAAAGAAGGCATAAAAATGTTCCTTCTGGTCTGGCCGGTGTGGCTCAGTGGTTGAGTGTCCATCCATGCACCAGGAGGTCACTGGTTCGATTCCCGGTCAGGACACATGACCAGTTGTGGGCCCAATCCCCAGTGGGGGGCATGCAGGAGGCAGCCGATGGACATTCTCTCTCATCGATGTTTCTATCTCTCACTCCCTCTCACTTCCTCTCTCTCTAAAATCAACAAAGGAAAAAATAAATTTTAAAAATCGAAAATGTTCCTTCTCACCCAGATCAGATGGCTCAGTTGGTTGAAGTGTCATCCTGTACACCAAAATGTTGCAGGTTTGATTCCTGGTCAGGTCACATACCTAGGTTGTGGGTTCATTTCCTGGTCGGGAAGTATATGGGAGACAACCCATCTATGTTTCTCACATCTATGTTTCTGTCTCACATTGATGTTCCTCTCTCTCTTTCCCTTCCTCTCTCTCTAAAAATCAGTAAAAACATATCCTTGGGTGAGGATGAAACAAAAAGTTCCTTTTTTGTCTTTAGTCAAAATATAAATTCTTTTTATAAGAACAGAGTCACTTGAAGTTGCTTTTTTTTATCTGCTTTCCCCTCTTCTCATCTGTAATAAGTGAATGATAATTACGAGTGGTATCATCCTATGCTCTTTGGGGAGTTCATAAATGTCGACAAGAAGAACTACCGCAGATACCTAAGAGTGGAGATCACTCTCACAGGTATTTTCCTGAGACAACCAAGCCACATAATCCTGTCCACGTGACCATAGTTAGGTCCCTGTGACAGTCATTCCAACTGCTGATGTGAACGGGCCTGATGTTTTGCTCACAATGACACACTCAGGAAACCTAATCACATGTGCAGCAAGCCAGGGGCTCTGTACAATAAGAAGAAATGCACAGTGAATCATCAGGTCAGATGGGGATCTTAAAATTCTTCAACCCTTTTTTCAGCCTCTTCTCCAATGACAAAACCTTGTAGTCATTATTAACACATCCCACATCAACAGCATAGCAATATCCACTCTTAATATCTTTCAAGAGTCCTTTGATGTTTCTAAAATAATTTAGAAACCCACACACACTGTGATGCCACAGAATGCTCCTTGGTTAATGTACTTCATTGTATATATCACCTCTTGATGAGAGGCAGCCTGGAGTTCAGTCCAGTTCTACAAAGCCTGAGTGACTTCAAGTAATTTTCCCAAACTCCGTGCCTGAGTTTTCTCATCGGCGGAGTGGAAATGATGATAATGTTGCTTTCCAAGAAGATGTAATGCAAAGATTAACTACATCAACATATAAAATGTGCCAAGAACAAGAGCTCACACATGATAAATGTTAGATGCATATTTGCAATTACTACACATTTTTTATTTATTTATTTTAATGACCTTTTTTTTCTTTATTGATTTTTAGAGAGAGAAGAAGGGAGAGGGAGAGACAGATAGAAACATCAATGAGAGAGAACATTGATTGGCCGCCTCCTGCAAGCCCCCCACTGGGTTTTGGGCCCACAACCTGGGCATGTGTCCTGACCGGAAATCAAACCAGGGACCCCTTTCTTGGTACATGGGTCGACACTCAACCACTGAGCCATACCAGCTGGATACAATCACTACACATTTTTTAATCTCATGAGAATTGCTGCTGTTATTATTTGACCATTTTTCATTGTTATTGTTTGACCATTTAATTTTACTAAATTAGAAAATACATCATCTTTATTATGTCAAAACCTGAGCCCTTTACTTACCACAGTCATGGCCGTGCGAGGATGAGATCTGTCACAGTCCACACCTTCCACGGTGAGGTTGTACTGCTTCACAGTCTCATAGTCTGGCCGCGTGGTGAGCTCAATCATTCCAGACAGAGGGTGAATCCAGAATCTTTGTAGAACTTGACTGTCTCCACTGGTTATTTTGTACCTAACACAGTTTGGTGGGTGGTCTTCATCAATGGCAGTCACTCTTCCAACTTTGTAGAAAGCTGCCAATAACATTTATCAAGGTTCATTCTTGTTATGAGGATACACGACTTTAAAAAGCTTACTAAGTCTTTGCCTTCCAAATGGTATCACAGTTTCTCAAAGGGTCAACCTGAATCCCTTTGAACAATGAAATGTGTTTGAAAAGCCCAACACTACATGATGGAAGGTAGATTTACGACTGTCCTCTTCCACTTTGAACTATGTGGCATAAGTCAAATGCTATGAGTTACCAATAATTTTACAATAGTAGTAATTACTTACATGTACTGCTTGCTTATTTTCTACGAGGCATTATGCTAAGATTAGCATCAGGTAATGGTTCATAGTACAGACTCTCGAACCAGACCACCTAGGTTCCCAGTCTCAGTTCGGCCACTTACTAGATGCAACTCATTGAAAATTCTCGGCTGCGGAAGCAAGGCCGCGACGGCAGACGAGATGGCCAAGGCTCAGGCCGCTCGGCCTGGTGGGGACACGACCTTCGGCAAGATCTTTCACAAGGAAATCTCAGCCAAAACCATTTTTGAGGATGACCAGTGTCTTGCTTTCCATGACATTTTCCCTCAAGCACCAACACATTTTCTGGTGATACCTAAGAAGCATATGTCCCAGATTTCTGTAGCAGAAGATGATGACGAAAGTCTCCTTGGACATTTAATGATTGTTGGCAAGAAATGTGCTGCTGATTTGGGCCTGAAGAAGGGTTATCGAATGGTCGTGAATAAAGGCGCATATGGGGGACAGACTGTCTATCATGTTCGTCTTCATTTTCAGGTCAGCAGATGAATTGGCCTCCTCGTTAAGCGTGTTTTAGGGATAATTTTCCCTACTCTTGGCAATGATCAGTTTTGCAAGTTCTAATTTGCTAAACAGTACACTTTTCTTTTTTTTTTTTTTTGCCTGTGTATGGAGAGATGGAGGAAATAATTTCTAAAACCCATATATAATAAAATACATTGTTGCATGTTCTGAAAAAAAAATTCTATAACCTCTCTGCGCCTCATATTTTTTTAAATCTGAAAACAAGGAATAATAACAGTAGTTGCTATATAGAGTTGCTGTGAGGATTAACTAAGTTAAAATATATAAAGCTTTTAGAATAGTGGCTGGTATATAGTAAATGCTATATCAGAATTATTTACATACATTATCTCATTGAGTCCTCTCAATAACCTTATGATATATGCACTATTACTGTCCCCTTTTCACAGATAAGGAGAATCAGTCCAGGGGTCTTAAGTAACTTGCCCAAGGTCACAAAGCTACTGATGTTAGGGTCAGGATTCAAATCTGTATCTGCGGCCGCTGTAGCCCACAATCTTGAAATCACTTTGCTGTGGTTTCCCCCAAATAACCTCTTAGAAGAAAAATAGGTGTGATAGATGGATTGAATTAGCAGGCCCACATTCTTTTCTATGTGTAATTTATCATTTTTGTTGAAAGTATTATGGATATTCCCCTTCTTTTCCTCATTGACTTCTCCTCCCCGCTCCTGGCCCCCCATCGGCCCATATTCTTTGTTCTTCCCACCATCATGCTCTTTGTCCGCCCATGTGATGTGTTTTGGCCAATGGGCTATTAGCAAACCTGACAAGCAAAGGCCTGAGAAGCCCTTGTGTGACTAGGCTTCGCTCACCCCTGCCCGTCTGCCTCTGCCCTGAGCACATAGTCAGACTAGCCTGTTGGAGATGAGAGAGCAGCCAAAGTACTAGTGCCCAGGCTGAAGCCAGGCTAGATCAGCAACAGGCCAGTCAATTCCCACAATTTTGAGCAATCCTAGCCAAAACCAGAGAGACAGTTAAGCCAGTTTTCAGACTCATGAGCTAAATAAAAATAAATGTTTATTGTTGTATTACTCTAATTTTTTTTGGGGGGGAGGGTTATTACACAGCATATTTACAGTAAAAGATAACAGAAATAACAGGCTTACCCCTCAATCGTTTTCTGACTGTATTACCATGTAGTGAATGCCACCACACAATGACTAGTCTCAGCAACGTGTAGATGACAATCCAGACTGAGAAATACCATAAAGTAAGTATTGAATGGGGACACCACCACCTTCAACCTGACAGGACTTCTCTCACAGTGTGCATCTGTCTCTTGCTAAAGTTCATCAGTCTCTAGTAATGTTACTAAGCAAGCAATGAACACAACTCGGAACACCAAGAACAGAGAAAACACATTTGAGGAAAAATAACATTTCATTATGGAAAATCCAGAGTCTAAAGAGTTCAACCTAGAGAGAGTGGTTACAACTGATTGACGACCACATAAAATAGATTAAGGGTAAAATTGCCATCTCTCTCTTACAGTCCTGGGCAAAGATGGTGTCATTTTTACATTTAACACCTGGTTAAGTATAATGGAAAGTTTATTCTTCTGTAGATATAAAATTAACTTTCCAATAAAATGAAAAGCTATCTTGAGTATCTTAGCTAAAGTTTGAAATAGAGTAATTATGAAACTCGCAACTCTGCCAGACATCTTATCAAAAACTATTGGAAATGAAATATGTTTCCCCTGTGACTTGCAACCCGTGTGATTTAATTTTCTTCTAAATCATTTCTGTTAAAAAAAAAATTATTTTGCCTATGCCTACCTCCCTCCAGAAGCTATATGTCAATGAGAGATTTAGTTGCTCATCACATACCACCAGATTTCTTTTATATAGTTAAGATTATAGATTCCCATAATTTTGTTAGGATAAAAAAAACCTTATATAGTGCTCAAGGCCCACAGAAACCCTCTGCGCTAATCAACTCGGCATGAAAAACAACTACCATAGTAATGGATTTTCTAATGTCCTCAAGGTCTATAGGCTAAATGTTTGCTATTCTGAGGAGAGTTTGTTCTCAGAGTAGTTTTAACTTTTTAATTTCCTCCTTTAAAGTGAGTTGTCACTGAGTTGGGAAGAAGATTTTGTCTGCTCTGATGGGTAGTGCCTCAGAACACCAACCTTCCCTTATTTCATTCATTGTTTGTGCTCTTGCAGGGGAGATCAAGTAGTGGTATTTTTTAAATGGCAAGGGAAAAGTTCTGGCACATTGTAGGCACTCAATAAATGTTAGTGGTTATTATTATTATTATTGGCAATACTGTTGTGAGTTTTGTTAGTATGTATCATATAGTTTACATACATATAATTATCAGTTAATCCTCACCTCAACTATGACATTGTTATTATGATTTCTGTTCTACAGATGAGAACTCAAAAGCGCATAGAGGTTATCTATCTGCCTAAAGTCATTTGACTAATAGTGGCAGAAACAGACTTTGAATCCAGTTCTGTTTGACTTCAACTCTCCTTGTTTTTCTGCTACATCATGCTGCTCCCTTATGAAGACCTAGAAGTCTTCTCTCTGGTCAGTAGGCAGCCATTTGGAGAATAGTACACACACACACAAAATGATCCTCTTATCTTTTTGTATGAATTCTCTAAACTTGTTTTCAAACTACTGGTGATCTCAGTCATCAAAATCCATCCAGTCATCAAAATCCATCCAAGAAAAGCATCTGGGAATACTAAACAGAACTGGACCAGGAATTTAGAAGTCTGCATTATCCATCATTTCTGCTATCCACTAGCTGTGTGGCCAATTCTCTGTCCAGCCCTAATAGTGAAACCAAAAGGTTGAATCTTTTCAGTCCTTCCAAATCAACAGTGTTGTCATTGAAAATTCTAAATCCTTCTTGTAAGCCGTCAAGAAGGCATTACATTATGCTTAAGTAAACCTAGAAGTGTTGAATACATTTAGAGAGTTCTACCTTGAAAACATAAAATTACATTCCAGGACAAATTTGGATAGTTGGAAAAGAAACGGACATAAAGCACTTAATTCCCATAAAATGCTATTTTTAAAAAGTGCCAGTCTCAAAAGGCAAAAGAGGGTGAAAAGGTCTGGGGTTTCCAAAGGTCGAGGAGGAGAGAAGGATGAATGGGTAAAGCATAGATTTTGGGGGGGCAGTAAAACTATTCTGTATACATTTGTCCAAACCCATAAAATGTACACCACCAAGAGTGAACCCTACTGTAAACTCTGGACTTTGGGTGACAATGACGTGTCCGTGTAAGTTCACCAGTTTTAATACTTGTGTTGCTCTGCTGGAGGATGTTGATGATGGAGGAGTCTGTGTATACGTGGGGCAGCAGGTATATGGGAAATCTCTGTACCTTTTCCTCAGTTTTGCTCTAAAACTAAAACTGCTCTGAAAAATAAAGTCTGTTTTTAAATGCCTGTTTCTATTTTAAAATCTAGACTGGTTGTTGTACACATTGGAGTGTCATGGAAACCCTTGGATAATTTGATAAAGGCTAGAGGTCTTTTCCCTCACAGACCCTTGAAGCCAAAGCTCAGACCTTCTGCTCCATAGTTACAACCTATCAGCTAGGTGATCATTAGAAAACTGCGAACTAAGTAACTTTTGCATGAAGACTCACCACAAAGTGCCACTAACAGCGCTCCCTAGAGCTAGAACACTGCCACAGAGCTGGGAGGATACAAAGGGAGGAAAGAAGTTAAGTCATGAGGCTCTGTCAACAAAAGATGACTCAGAACTCTGCGGAGGGGTAGCAGGGTCCTGTTTACAATAATTTCGTTTATATAAAAATGTTCTGGAATTGTCTGATCATAAACTAGAAGATTCGACTGCATTATGTTCCAGAACTAGGGCCATAGGTGTACATTGATTTATGGAGAGTTTTAAGGATTTGTCCAAAACTGCATGGTAAGGCCACCAAAGAACTGAAATCCAAATACACGGGCTTTTTACTCCTAGTCTCTCCTCAGAACAATTGTCTAATTAATGTAGACAATTGGCTGCCAAGGAAATAAGCTGGTTTGAAGAAGTGGGTTCTACCTGGTGATGTGCAGGAAAATGATTAACAACCAACTCTCTGAGAAAATAAAAAGTGTGTGTGTGTGTGTGTGTGTGTGTGTATGTCCACATAACTATACCAGCTTATAAAATTTACTGATATGAAAATATGTAGCATAAAAGTTTAAAATCATAATACAGTGCATAATCGTCTTTATTGTAAATTCCCACATAGACCATTGATCCTCACAAAATGATTTTATGGATTTTTGCCTAACTCCTTTATGCATACAAATACTATGATTGTAACTGACAAATGATGGTAGTTACAACATGAATGATAATTAATGCTTTCCATATGTTAAACATTAATAAGAATAAGGTTGAGACTTCTGGTCAAGAGGGTGGTGTAGGTAATTGTGGTACCTGAATCCTCCCACAACCATATCAACAGTACAACCGGCCCTGGCCGATTTGGCTCAGCAATTAGAGCATCAGCCTGCAGACCACAGAATCCCGGGTTCGGTTCCCGTTTAGGGCATGTACCTCGGTTGCAGTTTGTCCCCGGCCCCGGTTGGGGTCGTGTGGGTGGCAACGACTCAATGTGTCTCTTTCACATCGATGTTTCTCTCTCTCTTCCACTTTCTCTCCCTTCCGCTGTATCTGAAGACAAATGCAAAAAAAAAAAAAATGTCCTCAGGTGAGGATTAAAAAAGAAAAAGTACAACCAAACTACAGAACAATCATCATTCAGAACAGCCTGAAATCTAGTGGAATGAAAGCCCTACAACTAGGGATTTAAAAAGCCACCCAGTTTTGCCAAACATTCAAAGAAGAACTAACATCTATCCTCCTCAAACTATTCCACAAAAATCCAAGAGGAGGAAAGACTTCCGAGCTCTTTTTACAAGGCCAGCATTATCCTAATTCCAAAACCAGATAAAGACACTACAAAGAACGAAAATTAC